CCAAAGGTGGGCAGACTTACATTCTGAACTGCCAGCCGTGGGGCGCCCAGCCTCTGCCACACTCGCTGACAGGGGCCGCTCGTGCTTTTTTCTGGGGCCGCGTAGGAAGTTCCTGGTCCGTGGTGGAGCCTCCCACGTCAGAAAATGGGATCATGCACGTGTCCGTGGGAGTGGCCGTGGTCTGGGCCGTCACCAAGGACCGGAAAGTAAGACGGGTCCCCAGGGGCGGGTCCCAGGGCTCCGTTTCACGTTGAGAGCGGTGTGATTTTTCGTTCTTTTGGTCTGAACCCTTGAGAACAAATCAGCCAAGCTCCGTGCGCTCTGTGTCGCTGTCCAAGATATTTGGTGCCTGCAGAATCCCCCCTCGTCTGCGCCTGGTACCAAGTGCAGGACAACTGTATTGATCACTTCGTAGGTCGTAACATTTCAAATAATCAGAAGCTGATTTTCCGAAATGCTCAGCTAATCGATTGTCTCTCCCTGCTCCTGTCCAGTGCTTGTCATTTTTATGTTATCAGAGGCAAGACCTATAAAATAAGCCGATTTCAGGTTGCTTACAAGTTCTCTGTCTAACCCCACGTCCTGGGCATCCTGTAGCATCCAGGGGGCGGGACCACCCACATCTGATCCACCTCCAGTGCTGAAGTCCCAAGCCTCAAGCCACAGCCCAGCCCCCTCTGGGCCCCCAGGCTCCCCGCTCTCAAAGCAATGAATCAAAATGTGCAGAAAATTTGATTTATGTGAGCAATTTGCTGTCTTCAGACAAATATATGATTGTGCTTAATTTCACTGGGCTTAGATATCCTAGAAATTACGAAACGGATTTGAGGGTTTTCTCATTTAACCGTCCCCCGGCCCCTGTCCTGCCTCATAAATTGTGATTAAAACACTGAAGTACTAATAGCACAGGATCCCCTCGCCCAGGCCACCGCCAAGACCGAGTAAGAACAGTTGTGTGGGCATGGCAGGGGCAAGATAGAGGGTGGCTCCCAGGTAAACCAAACCAGGTGAGCCATGGGGTCACAGGTAGGCCCGCAGGAAATTTGGTTGAATTGTGCGTATTTTTACACGTTCACATGAAAAAGTTAGACTTGAGACTGTTTCATGAAGTACTAGGAATACAATCAAAATATATTATTTGTTCTAATAATGAGTTTAGGAAAATGGTTTTTCTAAATAAAACCATGAAGGTCATCATCTTCCAGAGGCAGACTTGGTTGGGCAAAATGACCTCCCAGCATTAAGCATGAGCGAGGGTGGGACGTGCACAGGGGTCCACGAGCTATCGCTGGTCAGGCTCACGAGTCAGAGTCTGGATTTGAGATGCAGGATGTGTCTGTCCTCCCCTTCAGTGCCCACAAAACACTCCACCTCCTGGCTCTGACCGTGTACAGTGAAACAGCCACCTGTTGCTGCTGTTTGGTGCCAATAGGTACCACTAGTTTCTGAACCAGTGGGGAGAAGGTTCTAGAAAGATTCAGGCAGCTTGTCTCCTGGGGGAGACAATGCCCTTAGCCAGAGAATGGACAGGAGGCTCCCAGGACAGGTGTGTCTGGGGGCAGGTGACCTGACCCTCGGCCCAGTGGGACAGTGCCAAGTCCAGAGAGAGGTGTGGCAGAGGTGTGCGGAAGAGGCACATGGATGAACACTTCATCTGTGGAATGAACCAAAGGATCGAATTACTCGTTTGTTGTTCTTGAGCCTTTAAAAACCAAAAACACCTATTTCAGTGACACTCCAGGAAGGCGTTTATTTCCGGCTCTCCCAGGTGTGGTTCCGCAGAGGCGTCAACTCTCACAATCCCTGTGGCACCAGCTGGATGGAGATGGTGGGAGAAATGATGATGGTGAACGTGGGGCTGAACGACCAGGTGCGGTGTAGCTCTGAGCCTCGCTTCCTTGGGGGCGGGGGTTCGAGCCCTCCTCCCACCCGCCCCAGTGAACTGCGTGACACAGAGGTCAGGGGTGAGACAGGTGCTGAGCACAGAGGCCAGCCTGCCCCTGCCAAGCCATACAGTGACGAAGCCCTCCCAGCAAGGCCATCTGGGGCGACAGCTCTGCCAGTCCCTGGGCACCCCCAAGGCCAGGATCAAAATGGGTGCCCCCTGGTCCCTCCCATGGGCCCTTCAGCTGCCCAGCACACTGTCCTTCCTCAGCGCCCAAAGGCAGAGGCGAGGAGGCCTCCTGGCCACCTTCCTCATGGGAAATGAGGTCAGAATCAAGGGCGTTTGCTTCCGTAAAAGGACCATGATCACCCGGGGGGTCCCTGGGGCACAGGTGGACTTGGTGTCCCAGCACAGCGCCCTCCGGTACCGCCTTCTCAAAGCCCAGGTCTGCCTGAGGTCGGCGAGCAGAACGGTCCCCGCTTCTCCGGAGCTTGGTGCCCTGCCCGCTCCCAGGCCCCTCCGAGCCCGGCCATGCCATGCGCCTTCCACCCCAACCCACACCCCGCTGCTGCCTGCCTTTGCAGAAAGTTCTCTGGCATTGGGGTACTCTCCACCCCGTCCTACCCCCTCACCCCAAAGGGAAGAACTCCCAGGTCTGCGCGGCCTCCGCCCAGCAGCACCCCTCCGTTCCAGGTCTGGGGCATCGGCTATGAGGACCGGGCCGTGTACTTCCGTCAGGGTGTCACCCCCAGCGAGCTCAGTGGGAAGACATGGAAGGCCATCGTTGCCAGCCGAGAGTGTGACCGGTCCCACTCCGGGAGCAACTCAAGTCTCCTCAGGTGATCCCGGGGGCAGCCGGGGGCGGGTAGGGAAGGGCTGTCGGTGGCCTCGGGGCAGAGTCAGGGGGCCTTGTCCCGAGAAGGGACCTGTGGTTCTGAAGTGTCAAGGTCTGAGGGAGAAAAGGCTTCTTTGTGGCTGGCTCAGGGAAGAAGACCGAGGGTCTCTCTCGCCTGGAGCTGGGACCTCTAACTTGGGCTTACACGGCATCTCTGGGGCTTGTTGTGTCACCGATGTCCAGGTTCCGCCCCCAGCACATCTGCTTCGATAGATTAAAATGGCAGGGCCCGAGATTATGCATTTCTTGCAAGGTCCCAGGTGTGCCGCTGCTGTGGGTCTGGGCACCATGCATTGAGATCCGTAGGTGTAAAGGGCATGGACGGGAACCAGCTCTGCCCAGTGGCCGTTAGAGCCCCAGCAGGTGACAGCGTCTGAGCTGGAGATGCCTCAGCACCACAAGGGGGTGGCCGAGGCGCTCGCCTGCCCTGTACAGCACACAGGGCCTCGGCACGGCGCTCCACAGCCACCACGTCCCTGGGCCCTCCCCAGGCCAGGGTCCACACCCCTTTGCTCTCCTGGCTTGGTTGCCACCACACATAGTTGTGCCACCAGCCCAGAGGGCCAGGAGGCCGGCCGGCCTGGGTTCGCTCCCTTTTACCTGAGGCTTAGTTGCCTCAGCTGGCAGTCCTCAAGCTGAGCAGCTCGCTGGAACCAGCCGAGAAGCTTCCAAAACTACCGATGCCAAATCTGCACAACCTAGAAGTCGGCAACGGCTCCTTCGGTATGACACCGAAAGCACGAGAAACGAGGAAAATAGTTAAATTGGACTTCATCAGAATTAAGCTTTTGTGCATCAGAGGACACTATCGAGAAAGTGAAAAGACGCCCCGCAGAATGGGAGAAAGTATTTGCAAATCATATATTTGATAAGGGCCTAGTATCCAGAATACATAAAGAACGTGACGACGGAAAGACAAAGAACCCAATTTAAAAAGAGCAAAAACAATAAATAAATAAATAGATAGATAGATAGATAGATTTGATAAGGGCCTAGTATCCAGAATACATAAAGAACGTGACGACGGAAAGACGAACGACCCAATTTAAAAAGGGCAAAGACAAAAAAATAAACAAACAAACAAACAAATAAGTAAATAAAAAGGGCAAAGGCCTTAGATAGGACATTTCTCCAGAGTAAATAAGTGAGTGGCCAACGAGCACAGGAAAAGATGCCCAGTGTCACCAGCTTTGGGAAATGCAAATCACGACCAAAGTGAGTTGCCACTGCACAGCCGCCAGAAACAGCTGTAATCAAACAGAAAGACAACAACAAGCGTTGACAAGATGCGGAGGATCTGGAACCCTCCGTCCGTTGCCGCTGGGAATGTGAAATGGTGCGGCCACTTTGGAAAATCCGCTCTGGCGGGTCCTCAGGAAGTGGAAGGCAGCGCCGCCACGTGACCCAGCAGTTTCCCTCCTAGATGCGCACCCACGAGAACCGCAGACAGGCGCCCCCGCAGCATGCGTGCGTGGCTGTTCATGGCAGCATCATTCACGATCACCGACAGGTGAAAACAACCCAGTTGGCCGTCAGTGGATGAAGAGGCAAGGAAAACGTGGCCCAGCCGTACCACAGACTATTATTCGGCAATGAAAAGGGATGAAGTACTGATACGCGCCCCGGCACGGGGAAGCCAGTCACAAGGGTCCCGTTCAGCACGGTGCATTTATACGAAATGTCCAGAATAGGCAAGTCCGTAGAGACAGAAAGCAAATCAGCAGGTGCCAGGAGGGTGGGGGGAAGGACGAGGATGGGGAGTGACCGCTTGATGGGCACGGCGTCCCCTTTCGGGGCCACGAGGAGGTTCTGGAACTAGGTGTTGGCGACGGTGACACAGCTTTGCGAATGCTCTTAATGCCACTGCGTCACATGATTTAAAATGGCAACTTTTGAGGCACGTGGATTTTGCCAAAATAAAAAATATAATAATATTACTGCCAGCCTTCCACCCCCAGACACATCGCTCTGATGGGTGTGGGGTGTGGCGGGGTGTTGGGACTGTTCTAAGCGCCCTGCTCCCCGGGAAGCGGGTGTCCGTGTGTGTGTTGCATGGAAAGGCTCTGACTCGGGGTCACACGGGTTCCTGGTAGCAGAGCAGATGAACCAGGCCTGCCGACAGCAGTTCTTCTGTCCGGGGAGTCACGGCTCTGCCCTCTCTGTCCCTAGTGCTGGCTGCTTCTTTGGCGACGAGGTGAAGGGCAGTGGTGAGTCCTGTGCACTGAGCGACACGGATGCCTCATCGGAAGCCGAGAGACTGGGGCCTGACCAGCCTGTTCCTGCGGAGCCTCTGGACAGTCCCAGGAGCCCCGAGTGCAGCTCGGCCTCGGGCCCAGGCACCAGCAAGACCTCAGAGCGTGCCACAGAGGGCGCCAGCCCGGCCGGTCAGACCTCTGGGCCCGAGCCTCAGCCAGGCCAGGCCTCCACCCCGGCCGAGCTGCCCTGGACCAACATCGACCTGAAGGAGCCCAAGAAGGCACCCGGCCACTCCACTGCTGGCTTTCCTGAGAGCGCCAGCCTCTGCCCCCTGGGGCTGCTCCCGCTGGGCTTGGAGGAGCCCTGCAGCGCCAGCGACCACCTGCTGTGGGCCTGGGTGTCCGGAGGAGGCTGCGCGGTGGAGGCCCACACCGTGCTCAAGTGGTTCACTGTCCAGTCAGGTAAGGGTGGGCATCGAGGGCCAGAGGGTGCTCCTGGGCGGGGGAGCAGGCCCCCTGCCCTGTGCTCCGCCAATCCATCTAGCCTTCGGAGACCAGCTGGAGCCATCACAAGGGAGGGCAGTGGCCTGGGGACCCTCCCCTCTCCCTGTCCTGGCATTGGTGGCCAATCCAGGCTGAACAGGGTAGGGGACATCGGGGTGAACGGTGTGGGAAGGGCTCATGGGCATCTTACAGAGATCGTAGCTTCCTAGCAAGGAAAGACCAATTTTTTTTTTTTTTTAACAAGCCCTGGGCTGCTGCCCAGCTATGAGTGGGCGGGGTGGCTGGCCCTGAGGCTGCGGCCTGCCCGCAGGCCTGTCCCCCTCGGTGCAGACACTTTCCTTGTCCATCACGCCGGCCCAGACCGCCGCCTGGCGGAAGCAGATCTTCCAGCAGCTCACGGAGAGGACCAAGCGGGAGCTGGAGAACTTTCAGCACTATGAGCAAGCCGTGGAGCAGGTGGGCGGGCCCCGGATGCACTTTTTATCAGCAGGCACTCATTGAGCGCCTACTGTATACCAGCCCCGAGGTGAGAGGGCGAAGCAGACAGATGCGTGCACCCCTCTGCCTGCCTACCAGGTGTGAAGCCATCCCTTCCGAGTCCTTTTATAGAGTCCAGAGTGAGGAAATGAGTCCATTCTGTTATTCACCTAAAGAACTGCCCAGGCCCCACTGCGTTCCAGGCACGGTGTAGGCCATGGGGACCCGGAGACCGCGGCAGCCTCAGCAGGGGTACACGGGGAGCCGCACACGCCAGGGGCACGGTGTTCTGCTGAGAGCTGAGGACGGGTTGAGGGTGGTCGTAGATGCTCAGGTCGAGCCTCGGCCCTGGCGGTCCGCGGTCAGGCCGGAGACAAGTTACATGAAGCACATGGCTGGTGTCACTCAGGATCTGGCCATGCCTCGGCTGGTGGCAGAACAGCACCTCGCCAGTAGCTAAGCGCTGGGCCTGTGAGTCCCAGCTTCGCCGCTGACCCACTCCGATGCGGGGCCAGGATCAGAAGCTCCCCCAGCCTCGGTTCGCCCGGCCAGAGCAGGGCGCGACAGTGCAGATCCCACAAGCTGTGGCATGTACACGGCGCAGGCTGATGGCCCGGCACCTGTCCGGTGTCTGACGGTGTCACTTTTGTCATTAGAGTGAAGTGGAGGATCTGGGAGCTGTAGGTGGGAGTCCCCTGTGAGGCCGCAGAGGGACTGGGTGCCAGGGCAGCCCGGGGGCCCGCCCGTGACCCTGTCTGTGGCCTCTGGGGCCTGTGCCACAGTCGGTGTGGGTGAAGACAGGGACCCTGCAGTGGTGGTGTGACTGGAAGCCCCACAAGTGGATGGACGTCCGTGTGGCTCTGGAGCAGTTCACGGGGCACGACGGGGCTCGAGACGGCATCCTCTTCATCTACTACGTGGTCCACGAGGAGAAGAAGGTGCGGGAAAGGGGTGGGGCTGCCGCGGGAAGCGGGTGTCTAGGGGAGGGCGCGCCCCAGGGAGAGGACCTCAGAGCCTGGGGTGGGACACAGGAATGGGCCAGCGACACCAGCCCGAGGTGCTCAGCTGAGGTACCTCCGGTGACTACATGGCACCGGCCTGTGGTGACAGGTGTCCCGTCAGTGGTAGGCAGGTGTGTGGCAGCCCCACAGAGCCATCTCCTCGGTCCGAGCTGCTGAGGGGCTCTCGTGTTTCAGAGGAGAAATCGGGCTCTCAGAGACAAAGCCACTCACCCTCCCTGGGCTGGGGTTGAACCCCGTCAGGCTGCTTCTCAAGTGCCCTTGTCATTGTCGAGGATGAAATCGGGCCTTTGCTCGTGAACGAGGCCTGTGTACTAGAACTTCCGAGCCCACCACTAAAACCCGCAGGCCAGGGCCCAAGGACCAGCTGTGTGGAACCGGGGGTGACCCAGGCTGTCCCTGTCTGTCCCTGGTGACAGCCTGCCGTCCGCCCTCTGTGCACAGTACCTGCACGTGTTTCTCAATGAGGTGACAGCGCTGGTCCCCGTGCTCAATGAGGCCAAACACTCCTTCGCCCTGTACACCCCCGAGAGGACCCGGCAGAGGTGGCCAGTGCGTCTGGCTGCCACCACTGAGCAGGACATGAATGACTGGGTGAGTGGATGGCGTCCCCTCAGGCAAGGGGTCAAGGGGCAATGGACTCGGGGCAGCCCAGCCTCAGCCTGCTGCCCGCCGCCTGCCCAGTATTGACCAGTCCCCTCCCCACACCAGCTGGCCCTGCTCAACCTGTCTTGCTGCGAGAGCCGGAAGGTCCACGGCCGTCCCTCGGCGCAGGCCATTTGGTCCACCACCTGCAAGGGGGACATCTTTGTGAGCGAGCCCAGCCCGGACCTGGAGGCCTCCGAGCACCTGCTGCCCTGTGACCAGATGTGAGTGGCCAGAGCTGTGGTTCTGAAAGGGACTGCCACCACGGGGCCGCACAGGGCCTCCACTCCCGCCAGCCAGCCGCAGGCATGGCCGGCGGCTTCCCAGGCCCCAAGTCTTCCTGGGCCCGTGTGAGGACCCCAAGGGGAACCAGAACCCGGCTGGACTTAGCAAGTCACCCCGCCGAGCACCTGCTGTGTGTTGGGGTGAGGGGGCACGGCTTCATAGGTGGCATTTGAAACCAGGAGCCGGAAAGAGGCCACCCACTGGGGCGATGGGAACGGAGTCCCTGCCTTCCAGCATTTTGGGTCGGAGAGCAGAGGAGCACCCTGAGGGGACGTGGTACCCCCAGTTGTGCCCCCAGAAGGTCACACAACCCATGAGGACCAGGGGGACGTAGGTGAGACCAGGGGGCCTTGTCAGCAGGGGACAGTGGACGCATCTGCCTGCCCTGTGCTCATTCGCTCCTGGGAGCCCCGTGTGCCCAGCACCCAGCCGAACGGGTCAGACCACCTCTGGTGACCGTGGCCTCGGCTGCAGGAGGCTGACCCTGCTCTCCGTCCACCCAGGAGGCCTTCCTGTCACCGTGTCGTGGCTCATCCAGCAGATGAGATGACCCTGCTCCTGCTGTGACAGACCCACCCAGGCCCCTGGGGTGGTGTGGGACGAGGGCTGCTGCTTCCCTCGGGAGACCCCCTGCCCCTAGGTCTTCGCACCGTCTCTGGGCCACTTTAGCCCGGGTTAATACCCAATGGGAAGCCCAGCAGATCCCACCATTCCGTCACTGGGAGACCAGAGACAAGTGAACAGGACGTCCTGGGAAACCACAGGCCACCAAGGCTGGAGGCCCTGCCGGCATTGCATCTCCACCCTCTCTCGTCTCCTCCCAGGTTCTGGCGGCAGATGGGTGGCCACCTGCGGGTGGTGGAGGCCAGCGGCCAGGGCGTGGTGTGGGGCATCGGCTACGACGGCACCGCCTGGGTGTACACAGGCGGCTACGGTGGAGGCTGCTTCCAAGGTGAGGGCAGCCCACACCCCGGGGCTGGCAGCGCAGGCTCCCTGCCCCGCCCCCACCCTCCAGGTGTTCCCTCCTCCAGCCTGGCTGGCGTCCCCGCCCCTACCAGAGCCACCGTCCCAGTGTTCATGCTCCACTGGCAGCTGGCTGACAGGTGACCTTCACCACTGCCAGCCTCTGCAGACAGTGTTCCTGGAGCCAACCCAGGAGGCATGATTGCCCAGGGACCAGGCCTCTCCCCAATGTGCCTCCCCCGGCCCGAAGGTTCTAGAAACGCAGCACCCAGTGTCTCCACTACATCCAAAGCCTCGTTTCACAGACGCTGGAATGGGGCGGTCCACGCCCCAGCCTACACGCCCCGCTGCGGGCAGCAGCTAATCCTGCAGAGCTGCGTGTGGTCCACCGAGACCGCAGGACGCACCTCTGCACAGGTTAAACAGCCCCCGCTTGTGAGGCAGGAATTACCTTTGTCCTCATTCTACAAACGAGGGTACTGGGGCTCATGGAGGTTCTGTGAGGGTGGTAAGGAGCGAGCCGGGTCGGGCCTCACACCTCCCAGGGCCAGGCAAGAGGGACGGCGGGGTGGAGGGGCGAGGCCAGGCACAGAGAGCCTGGAGCTGGAGCGGGCATAATGGGAGCGGCAGGTTCTTCTCATTGAGGTCGTGCAAACCCAGAGCAATCAGAGAAGCCCCAGCCCCGCCAGCCCCCCAGCCCTTGCGGGGTGCGCCAAGCAGGCCTGTGAGCCCCTTCTGGCTGACCCTCTCCAGCCTGACTCCCCACCCAGTCTCCATGACTAGGGCTTCAGCCAGAAGCCCAAGGCCCCAGCGGGGAGCTGTGCGGCCTGGGTCCTGGAGCCTCCTCTGCCCCCAGGCCTGGCCAGCAGCACCAGCAACGTCCACGCGCAGTCAGACGTGAAGTCCATCTGCATCTATGAGAACCAGCGCTGGAACCCCGTCACGGGCTACACCAGCAGGTGAGCCATCTGCGTGGACGCTGCACCCAGCCGCTGCGGCTTCCGCGTGGCGCCCGGCCCAGGCCGCAGGCTTGACAAAAGTGCACGGCCACGTCCGGTGTCGTGAGGTAGCGTGAGAGCTGGCCTCGGACCCTGACGTGGCACTCGCTGGGCCTGACTGCTTACTCAGCCTTGCTTTCTTGAATCTCAGTGTACTATATATTTTTAAAACTCACTTGTTGAGAAGTAAAACATGCATAAAATGCACAAACGTGCATATGATGAGATATATATTGATCTATGTGGAGAAATAAATCGATATATATAGATAGGTAGGTATCGATAACAAGAGAGGGGCTTCCGGCCCTCACAGCGGCCGTGGCCCTTGGGTGGATTGTTGTCCAGTCCCCCTCAGGATGTGGGGTCACCCCAGTTGTGGTCCCAGGTGCATGTGTCTATTACTGGCCAGTGCCTGAGCAGGACGGACTGTCCTTGGCTCTCTCGAGTGGCTCCCTCCCCCCCACCCGCCTCGTCCTGCCTCAGGGGCCTGCCCACCGACCGCTACATGTGGAGTGACGCCTCAGGGCTTCAGGAATGCACAAAGGCCGGCACGAAGCCCCCGTCCCTGCAGTGGGCCTGGGTGAGCTCCGGGCTGCGGGCGGGTGGGGACCGGAGGGGGGGGGGGCTGCCCGACTGACCCGCCCCTCCCCCAGGTGTCTGACTGGTCCGTGGACTTCAGCGTTCCCGGGGGCACTGACCAGGAGGGGTGGCAGTACGCCAGTGACTTCCCTTCGTAAGCATCCGTCTCTCCCTGGGCGGGGAGGGCCTCGCGGGGCTGCAGAACCAGGTGTGCGGCCAGCCAACCCTCCCCTCCCCAGCAGTCACCTCACAGCCTTGCCAGGCAGAGCCCCTGCCCCCTCAAGTGCCCGGGTGCGGCTGAGGAGCAGACCCTGTGTGCCAGCCTCAGCCACCAGCGGGGTGCAGAGGGGCACAGGCGAGCGTGGCCCGGCGCACCTGGCCTCAGTGGACGGGCCCAGGAGGATGCACGCTGCCTCCACACCTGGCTGTGCCCCGCACTGCTGGACCCAGGTCGTGAGAGGGCCAGTCGGGGACTGGTGCACAGCGCTGAGGGGGCCTTGGCACCTTAGCAGGGGTGGCTTTGCGGAGCTTTGGGCCAGGCTCTGGGTGACCTCCGGGAGGCCCAGCACGAGGGAGGTATCGGTTGAAGGGGCAGTTTGAGCACAATACAGACTGAGGCCAGCACTGTCCTGGGAGGCAGGAGGCAGAGGGTGTCAGGCAGCAGTAAAAGTGGATGACACGCTCCTAAGCTGGGGGTCCCTGGCAGCCGGCGTGTGGCATTGGCGGGGGGTCCCTGGCAGCCGGCGTGTGGCATTGACGAGCTGCGCGTCTTCACTGCATACAAGTCACAGCCAAGTGGAAGACAGCCAGGGGGCCCCAAGCCAGGGCAGCCGACCCAGGCCGAGGGAGGAGACAGGTGTCAGAGGCCTCGGGCCCTCAGCTTGACGAGTCCCCAGAAGGGCCTGATAGAACCCACCAGCTGGGCAGCTGCCATGTCCCCGCGAGACCCCAGCCAGTCTAGAGGCACCTGAAGGACAAGCATTATTTCCTGTGATACCTGCTGCCCTTCGAGCCCACTTCGTGGCTTACACAGAGGCTCTGTGCCCGCTACCAGGTAGAGAAAGAACGTGTTCCAGAAAATTCCAGAAACTTCCATGAAGTCGTCTTGATTTCGGCTTCTTCTTTCTCTTGTAGCTCATACCACGGTTACAAAACCATGAGGGATTTTGTCAGGAGAAGGCGCTGGGCCAGGTAAAGACTGAGCAACGAGGTAACTGGGGGGTGGAGGGGTCACCTCGCCCCCCTGCTGGTTCTTCCCACGCCAAACCTCTGAGCCTCCGACCTCAGTGCCAGCAGAAGGAAAGGGGAGGGACAGAGTCAAAGTAAATGCCAGTCCAGGAAGTGCCCGCGAGCTCCTCATGCTCTCTGGTTTCCAGAGAGTTTGCTTTCAAGAACAAACAGGAGAAATGTCATTGGCAAGCTCTGCTGTTAACAGGACCGGCGGCGCGGGGGCCTGGCTGAGGGCAGAGCCACCTCTCCTGGCCCCTTATTCCCACCCATCCAGGAAGCCGCACGCACCCTGGTGCTTGGGGGGAGGGATGGGGGCTGGCCCTCCCCAGGGTCTTGCCCAGGCTGCCTTGAGGGGAGGGCTGGCCTGGTAGCTTCCTTCCGCAGCCTCCCCCGTGCCCGGGGCAGGCGGCCCGAGGCTGCAGCAGCATGAGGTGCCAGTGTTGGGGTGCCAATGTTGAGCTCTTTCCACCGCACAGAAAATGCAAGCTGGTGACCAGTGGGCCCTGGCTGGAGGTGGCCCCCATTGCCCTCGGAGACGTGTCTATCATCCCCAAGATCCCTGGTGTCCGCGGCAGTGAGCAGCACAGCCTCGCACTCTGGGCTGTCAGTGACAAGGGGGATGTGCTGTGCCGCCTGGGGGTGTCCGAGCTCAACCCCGCGGTGAGCATCCCAGTCCCTGCCCACCCCGTGGGCCCTCCTGTGGTTCTGACAGATCCTTCCAGAAATGGGACTCTTGCTGTGGAGTCGGGCTGGGCTCAGCTGGTCCTGCACAGGCCCCGTGAGGCCTGTAGGACGTGTGGACACAGCACGTGGCCCGAAGGGTCACCAGCTCTGTGGGTCGTGGAGCTGAGGGTGAGGTTGACGTGAAGAGCTGCCAGCTCCGGGGGCCGGGGGCGGCGGAGGCTGCGCCCAGGCACCTTCAGTGTCCCCTCACTCGGCCTCCAGGGCTCCTCCTGGCTGCACGTTGGCACTGACCAGCCATTCGCCTCGGTCTCCGTTGGGGGCTGCCACCAGGTGTGGGCCGTGGCGAGGGACGGCTCCGCCTTCTACCGGGGCTCCGTGTCCCCCTCCCAGCCGGCTGGTAAGTGCCACCCTCAGGAGGGCCCCCACCTGGCACCCCGAAACTGCAATGGGGACAGGGCCAGTCAGAGGGCTGGACAGGTCTCCGTTTTCAGTTCAGCTCAACGAGCATTTACTGAAAGTGGCCTGCGGACCAGGCACTGGGGGCCGAGCCACACCCCTCCTGCCGGGCCTGAAGTGGGGTCCCCCCCACCCACAGCCGCCCCTCACCGTCTTGGGCTCCCACCACGGAGGCTGGTGGTGGAGCTTTTGGGCACTTTGCACATCCTGCCCTTCCTGGGATGGCCCTGCAGAGGCCCACTTCACACTGGCCGCACTGGCCACCCTCGGGAGGACAGACCAGGCTGGCTTGTTCTTGGCTGGACGTCTAAACAGCGTCTAGCACGGGGACGTGGTGGCCGGTGCCCCGCTGCCCTCCATACAGGGCGGACGGGCTCGGGCAGCGGCTTTGCACAGCAGCCGAGAGGCTGGCTGTCCACCATGTGCAGAGCTGGGCCCCTCCGCGTCCCTGCCCATGCAGCCCGCCGTCTGGAACCCGCCATGGCCTCTGCCGGGCCCTGGGCGCGGCTGGGCTGTCAGAGGGTCTGCAGGGCGGGGGTCAGCTCTGCTTGGTGCTCAGCTCACACCAGGCCCCAGCACGTGTGTGCGGTCCGGCGGGTCTGGGGACAAAGATCACGCCCAACCCCAGGAGCTGCAGAGGAGGTCACGTGCTCCTGAGCGCCTGGGGCATGAGAGTCGCACGTCCCTTTGCAGGCGACTGCTGGTACCACATCCCGTCTCCTCCCAAACAGAGGTTGAAGCAGGTGTCTGTGGGCCAGACGTCCGTATACGCCGTGGACGAGAACGGCAAGTCGTTCCCGGTCCCCAGCGGTCACCGGGGGTTGGGGTTCCCTGAGCACCTCGATGGGATGATGCCCTCGCTGGCCTCCAGGTCCCTGACACAAGGCCTTCGTAAGCCACCATGAGAGACCGCCCAGCCTGAGGTCCCTCCCCCAAGGTCCCAGGTGGGAGCCGCCAGCACCCCCATCCCCCAGGTGGTCAGCCCTGCCCAGGCTCAGGGCAGAGGCCGCAGTGCCAAGGCCAGGGTGACGCTGTGGGCAGGTTGTGTTGGGAGCGTCCTCTAGGAAGTGCCTCCCAGGCCTGTGACCCCAGAGCCGCAGGCAGCGGTGGCCACATGGTGCTGCCCCAGGCAGCTCTCTGTCACCGGCTCCTTGTGCGGTTGACGTCCCCGCATCCTCTAGGAGGTGCCTCCCAGGCCTGTGACCCCAGAGCCGCAGGCGTCTGGGGACTGCAGCGGTGGCCACATGGTGCTGCCTCAGGCAGCTGTCTGTCACCGGCTCCTTGTGCGGTTGACGTCCCCGCTGAGCAAGGCGAGGACAAGGCGGGTGCTGAGTGGAGGCTCTGACTCCAGACTCGTCCTCCTGATTCGTGTAAAGAATTCCTTGTCCTCAGCTTCTCATGCGTAGAAAGAGGACGACGATGCCAGCCGGGCTCGGGGACGGCTGGGCGGCTCGGGTGGCACTGAGTGTGGGGAGGGCAGAGCCGCCTCCACCGAGCTGCCCTCGCTGTGGGTGGGCAAAGCCCAGCAAGCGTGGGGACAGGGGGACCGTGGCCAGTCCACCCAGCTCTGCAGGCCCTGAAGCAGGTCCCACGGCCTGGGCCTCATGGCGGGTCGTACCCTTCTGTCCCCAGGGAACCTGTGGTACCGCCAGGGGGTCGTGCCCAGCTACCCGCAGGGCTCCGGCTGGGAGCACGTGTCCAACAACGTGCAACGTGTGTCCGTGGGGCCACTGGACCAGGTCTGGGGCCGGCAGGGGCAGGGGGCCGGGGGGGCCGGGTTCCCACTCAGGTCCCCGTTGTCGTCCCCATGGTGCCACCGCAGGGGACCAGGCCTTCAGCCAGTCCTTGTTCCAGGTCTGGGTCATCGCCAACAAAGTCCAGGGGAGCCACAGTCTGAGCAGGGGAACCGTGTGTCACCGAACAGGCGTGCGGCCCCTGGAGCCCAAGGGGCAGGGCTGGGACTACGGCATTGGGGTGAGCGGGCAGGCGGGGCGGCTGTGTGGGCCAGAGCTGCGAGGCCACACCGTGCACTGTGCTTGGGCCTCACAGGCTGGGGCCTGGCGTGGGGCTGGTGGGAGGCCCAGGCAGAGTCCCTCGGGGGTCCTTGAGCCTCAAGCCTCTGGAAGGATGGTCTCTGCCCCTTGACTCCCTCCAGCCCGTTGACCGGCCCCTCTCCTTCCAGGGGGGCTGGGATCACATCTGCATTCGGGCCAATGCCACCAGAGCCCCCAGGAGTGTGTCCCAGGAGACGGCTGGCGAGCAGGGCCTCCCCAACGGGCCCTCGCTGGTGGCCGGGGCCCCGCAGGAAGCCATGGGCCCTGTCTGCTGCTGAGGCCTCCTCCCACCTGGAGCAGGCGTGGTGCCCAATTTGAAGGATCAAGGTCGAGTGTGAGCCTTCCCCTCCCAGTGGGCCATTCTCTGCTGAAATGCGGAGCCTGGGTATAGCTCGGAACAGCCCAGCAATGTGAAGCCCTGTGGACATTTCTGCACGTGTCCCCATCAGCGCGGAGGGCTTGGGGGAGGGGGACCCTCACCCCGCCTGTCCCACCCATGTCTTCCCCTCTGCCTCCCGCCTTTCCAGGACAGGAACTTAGAGCCTGGAACCTTCCAGGAACGCTGCCCCCGGGGCAGTAGAGCCCACAGAGGAGCCTCCTGCAGCTCCGGGCACTGGGGACCGCACCCCAGAGAAACGGCTGGCTGTGGGCTCAGGGCCACTTTGCCCACTCCAGGATCATTTCTGGGAGCAGGATTCACAAACGAGATCATTTCCAAAAGTTCGAGAAGGAGCTGGCCGGTTGGGGTTGAATGCTGGGCAGGGTGTTGTCTTTGCCAGGTGGACACAGATGCCCTGGGCGGCCAGGAACGGCCGGGAGAAGCTGCTAGAGGGCACGTCGCTGTCACCAGCCCTCAGCCAGCCCCTCCCAGACGTGGCTGGGGGGGAAGGAACGGAGGCCCTCTCATTCTGACCGTGTTGCAGGGGGTCGGGGCAGGGGGTGGGGACGCGGAGCGGAATCCCAGACCCCTGGGGCAGGCGGCCCCCTCAGCCCTGCTGCTTTTTATCCGATGATGAAGCCCCATTTGCTGAAGTCTCCAGTTTGCTTCCTACAAGCAGACACTTTGCCCGGGACTTGTCCCAGGCGTCCCCAGCAGGAGGGGTCAGTACCTGCTCTGGGGTCCCCTCCTTCGGGGCGCTCGAGGGAGCCAGTGATCCCTGCGCTTCTGGGTGGGATCTGGAGGCAGGAGTCCGGGCTCGGCCCAGACGCGCGTGGGGGGCGGGTGGCCTCTGCTCACATTCCCTGGCCAGGTTTTCTCCGAACGGGCATTACGGGTTTGCTCGACCGCGGCGACCTGTCCTTTGGCTGTGACTGTCTGTAGCTGGTCTCCCTGCCCCTTCTCCAGGGAGGTCATGCCCTCTCGCTACTGAGCACCAGCCGCGTCCCTGCTCAGCGTCACTGAACCATCTCAAGCCCTCAGACGCTTTATTCAATAAAAACTTACGCCAGAGTGTCAACGACGTGACTTGTTTTTTTTTTTTGCTACATCATAATGATCGAAATGCCCAGTTCCCTATGCTTGAAAGGTAGCACTTGTCATGAAATCTTTTATTTTTGTTTTGTGACACAGCATCGGTTTCTTGGGTACTTCGAACAGACCATTAGGAAAAATAAAAGCAAATTTGAGTTATTTAAAAAAACATTTTCACCACAATTACAGCTGGGGCACTGGCTGTTCAGACCCAGAGAGGTTTTCCCAGACAGAAGAGTCGCAGTTCTGCCGGCCTGATGGTGACCTCCACCTGGGAAGTTCACCAGCGGTCAGGTCAGCGGGCAGCGGGTCTGTGGCCCCAGGTGAGGGCTCAGGATGCATGTGACGCCTCTGACTTTAGGGTTCCTCACAGGACAGAAGGCTCCAGCTGGGCTTGGGGTCCAAGGTGAGCGTTGAGGCAGCAGGCCTCAGCAGCCTGTCACTAGACCTGTCCCCCACCCACTTTACCCCCACCCCGAAGCAGGACTGAGATCTTTAAGGTCCTTCGTGATGAGGCCACGGGGCTGCCGATGTCCTCTGGCCTCGGATGACGAAGGGCTGGACATCTAGGCCTGCGTCACCTTCTGGGAAGCAGAGGAGGTGCAGGTCTGGGACAGAGAGAAAGAGCCCCAACAGCTGTTGTCCTGCACGGTGGTGACCCACAGGCCTTCCCGCCGTCCCCAGTCACCGGGCATAGCCTGGACAGAGCTCTGCCGGGCGCCCTCCCTGTGCTCCTGCTCAGTTTGTCAGGTGTGCCGCACTGAGCCTGCTCCGGCCGGAACAAGGGCCCCGGTCTGCAGGCCTCCCCTTCCCATGTCCCAGTCAGCAGGCGACCCCAGCAGGGGCCACACGGACTCCATCTGCCCCGAGCTCAGAGCTGTCCTCAACCTCAGCTCTCATCGGTAGCCTGCCCTGAGCACTGACCTGAGGGGCAGGCCAGAAGCACCAGGGTCCCCACCTGACCCATGGCCAAGGACGGCTGGGACAGTGGGGCCGGGTCCAGACCAGGCCTCCCAGAGCCACCTTCCAGAGGGCCTCCACTGGGGCCTAGGGAGGGCCTGGCCACAGCCTGACCGGGTAAGTTAGGACTGAAGTGGCTAAGGACTGTTCCGAGGGGTGCGATCTGCTGCCCTCGATGCCACCTGGGCTGACACCAGCCCAGAGATGCATTAAGATGTTAGGTCTGGGCCGGGGGGTCGGGGGGAGGTGCTAGGGCTGGAACTATCAGGGTGGGGACAGTGAGGCTGAGCGTTGGGCGCAGGCCCCCGACTGTGACAGCCCCCCTCCCGGCCCGGCTCAGCCCCTGTCCGCAGTGCCCCATGAGGGCCTTGGGGATAGCTCAGGGCACAGGGGACCAGGCCACTCATGCCAGGCCAACTCCACCATGTCACTGCAGTTCCTGCCTGTGGCAGCCAAGGGCTCTGTCCCCTCCCCACATTGTGGACAGAGGGACGAGGGAGGAGAGATGTCAGCTGCTTTGGAGCTAAGTCGCCAAGCCTGTCAGAGCCAGCGGGGCAGGAACGGCAGAGCGGGAAGCTTGGCCCGAGGCTGTGGGCGCCTGCCAAGCTGCCCAGTCCTGCCTCTGCAGAGCAGCACCCGGTGGGGCAGACGCTCTCACCACCCCAGACCCCCGCCTTCAGAGAGTCCTGCAGGCCCCCAGCCCTAGCCAGGACCCAGCAGCACCCTAACGTCCTGTCAGACCAGCCACATCAGTGACAAATACAATGAGCAGCAAGCCTCGGGGGGACGGGCCTCTCCAGAGGGGCCAGGGCCAGGCAGGAAGGAGGGGCCGGCCACTCCGGAACCAGGGCCTAGCAGCCTCTCTCCCACCAGCCCAGCCCTGTCTCCAATGCCCTTGGCACCCAGCCGCAGACCTTCCGTGGTCAGGAGCCCCCACACGGGAGGATGCAGGAAAAGATCCCAGCCCCTCCCCCACCAAAGTCCCTTTAGAATTAATGTTGAGGTAATCGAATTAGGGTTTCTGATAGCTAGATTCAGAAGTAGACGCTTCAACTGTCTTGGCTCAGCCACTGTCCCTCAGTGGCTACAGGCTCTGCTTGCTCCATGCCTCAGTTTACCCCGAACGAGGAGGCTCGGGTGCAGGGTGGAGGCAGTCCCTGCCTGGGCCTGGGCCTCAGCCGCAACTGGGGAAATTTACCGAGTAAATCTTTTCCTGGAATCTGCCTTGCCTCGGGAAGGAGCCAGGAGTGAAGAGAATTTAGTTTTTGAGGCCTGTCAACTCCTGCCTAGTCAATGAAAAAGCAGATCCCGCAACCTACATGGAGGTTTGGGCCTCGTGCAACGCGGGGCCACGACCTTGGCCGGGTCTTGTCCCCCAAGGAGTGGAACGTGCTCCAGAAAGACAGCCGAGTTCAGGGAAAATGGAGCCTCTGGGGCCACAGCCATGTCGTGTCACCACCAGTCTGGGGCTCTTGTTGGGCCCAGGACTGGGGTGCTAGGAGCCCTCTCGGAAGCTGTGGATCTGCGTGGAGTACTTCTGCAGGTGGCCCTCGGGCTGGGCCTCGGTGGCACCGAGTGCGGCCCCAGTCACCTGCTGCTGCTGGTAGTGCTGGTAGAGCTTGGGGCCGGGGCCGTCCAGGCCCGGGAGGCGGCCGCTGGACATGGTGAGGATGGTGGCAGTCAGTGACTTGATGTAGTTCTTGGCCAGCGTGAGGGTCTCGATCTTGGACAGCTTCTTGTCGGCGCGCACGTGCGGGATGACCTCGCGCAGCGCCTGGAAGGCGTTGTTCAGCGTGTGCATGCGCTGCCGCTCGCGCTCGTTGCTCTCCAGCCGCCGCTGGACGCTGCTC